TCTTCCTTCTATTAATATACTCTATGATGTTGATTTATTTTCTTATGTTGAAAGCTATGGGAATGTTCTTTCTTTTATTTTTTTTTCGGGGGTATGGGGAATGTTCTTTATCAGAGTGAGAAAGTTTCCTTTTACTCCTAGTTCACCGAGAGTTTTTACCACAACTGAATGTTGATTTTTGATAAGTACTTTTTCTTCAAGCAGGGAGTACCGGAGGAATGTCTATCTGTGTTTCATTGATTATGCAAAGGTGTTTGACTGTGTGGATCATAACAAACTGTGGCTGAATCTGAGAAGAATGGGAATCTCAGAACACTTGATTGTGCTAATGTGAAATCTATACTTGGACCAAGAGGCAGTCATCAGAACAGAGCAAGGAAACACTGCATGATTCAAAATTGGGAAGGGCGTGTGCCAGGGATGTGTCCTGTCTCCATACCTCTTCAACCTGTATGCAGAACAGATCATCTGGGAGGCTGGGCTCTATGAGGAGACATGTGGGGGTCAAGATTGGTGGAAGATCTAGCAACAATCTGTGTTATGCAGATGACACAACCCTGCTTGCTTGAAACTGAGGAGGACCTGAAGCACTTGCTGCAGAAGGTCAAGGACTGCATGCAGCCTTCAGTATGGATTGAGGCTCAATATCAAGAAGACAAAGATTCTCAGCACTGGACCAATTGGCAGCATCAGGATGGATGCTGAAGAGATTGAGATTGTTCACAGCTTTAGTTTGCTTGGCTCCACAGTCAACACTCTTGGCACCAGTAGCCAGGAAACTAAAAGACGTATTGTGATGGGAAAGTCTGCTGTTAGGGACCTCTCCAAAGTATACTGAAGAGCAATGGTGTCTCTCTGGAGACTAAGGTGCATCTGATACAGGCCATAGTCTTTGCAATCACTTGTTATGCATCAGAGAGTTGGACAATGACTAGGGAGGATAGGAGAATTGATGCCTTTGAGCTGTGGTGCTGGAGAAGAGTATTGAAGGTACCATGGACTGCTAGGAAAACAAACAGTTTCATCATGGAGAGGGTTAAACCGGGCTGTTCCTTGCAGGCAAGGATTCTGAGGCTTTGTCTGACATACTTTGGTCATGTTGTAAGGAGGCACTGGTCATTGGAGAGGGACATCATGCTTGGGAGGCTGGAGGGACAGCACAGGAGTGGAAGGCCCTCTATGAGGTGGATTGATTCAGTGACTGGGGTAATGGGGATGGGTGTGTCTGAGACAGTGTGATTGGCACAGGACAGAGCAGAGTTTAGGGTTGTACATAGGGTCGCTATGAGTCACAAGTGATTCGATGGCACATAAAAACAATAACAACAACTTCTTCTTTAAACTGAAATCATTGTTCTTCAGTATTTTGGAGAGATCTCTGACAGTAAAAAATGCAGTAAATCTCCTGCTCTCTCCTGACTGCTGTTACCAAGGGTGTTGATGTAGATCCAGGTAAGAGGAAATCATTGACAATTTCAAGCCTTTCTCCATCTATCATGGTATTGCCTATTGCCCCAGTGATAAGGAGCTTTGTTTTCTTGATGTTGAGATGTTAATACATATTAAAGGCCATCGATACACATAACAACACATAACAACAACAACAACAACAACATAGATCAATGAGAGTCCAGTATCTTTGATCTTCTGCAGCAAGCATTTCAGGTCCCCTTCACTTTGAGCAAGCAAGGTTATTTCACCTCCTAATGCAGGTTAATGAGTCTTCCTCCAGTCCAGATACCACATTCCTCTTCATAAAATCCAGCCTCATAAATTATTTGCTCAACATACATATTGAATTGGTATGGAGAAATGATACAACCCTGACACATACCCTTCTTGATTTTAAACCATATAGGGTTCCCTTGTTTTGTTTGGACACTCCTTCTTGATCTAGGTATAGATCTAGGTATGAGCACAATGAGGTGTTCTGGGCTTCCTATTCTTCTCAATGTTAGCCATAGTTTGTTGTGGTCTAGGAAAAGATGATGGGAGGAATACACAGAATCACTGTACCAAAAATAATTGATTGACAGGAAGTACCATATAAACAAAAGCCAATGGTAACAAAAGAAGAAGCTCAAGATGTGTTGAAGACACTGGGGAAAAAAATAATAAAGGCCTAGGTACTTGGTGGGATACTGATTGACGTGTTTTAGCTAACAGATGCAACCTAGTACATGCTCAACAGTCTATGCCAGGAAATTTGGAGAAGAGTTGACTGGCCAACTGACTGGAAGAGATCCATATTTGTTTCTATTCCCAAGAAAGGTGATACAAAAGAATGAGAAAATCCTCAAATAAAATCATTAATATCACATGCAAGCAAAATATTGGTGAAGATCATCCCCAAACAACTGGAACATTACAATGACAGGGAATTGCCAGAAGTTCAGGCTGAACTTAGAAGAGACCATGGCACAAGGGATATCACTGATGATGTCAGATGGATCCTGGCTGAAAGAAGAGAATACCAGAAGAATGTCTCTGTTTTATTGAGTATGCAAAAGCATTTGACAATGTGAAGCACAACTCTGAGCATTAGGAGTCCTCTTTTATCATTCTTTGAGGAAAAAAAATTGTTGAACTTCTCTTGGAGTTCTCTCTGTCCATTCTCTGATACACACTTCCAGGTTTTAGATTACCTTGAGTCCAGGCTGAGGTAAGCCAAAGGAAAAATGGTAAACTTCTAGCTTACTGATGTTTTGAATTCTCATCTCCTTTTATCTTTCTACTATTAGTTCTTTTTCAGAGTTCTCAAGTAGCTCTTCTATGCCTACATTCTATGCAGATTTATAGGTACATTAAGTGGGAAAGGCATAATAAAGTATGCGTGATCTGTTTTACCTGGAGGCAGAACTAAACTATTGTCCTTTCTTGAAATCTTCCTATTATCCTTTCGATATGAGCAGGATCTTCAGCGATATCCCTTTGAAGGCTCATATAACTAATTTCTATTTCTTCTTTCTTTCATCAGTCTTACTATAGGTTTATTAATCTTATTCACTGAAGAATCGACTTTACCTACTACTCACAGCCATCGAATGACTCTCAACTCCTAGAATCCCTATAGGACAGGGTAGAACAACTGTGCCATAGGTCTCCAAGGCTGTAAATCTTTATGGACTGAGATTATCTCATTTTTCTTCCACGTAATGGCTGGTGGATTCAAACCACCAACCTTGAGGTTAACAACCAAGTCATTTAACTGCTGTGCTCCCAGGATTCCTTCAGATATCAACTTAGGCTTTGCTATTTTCTCTCTTGTTTGTTTTCTAATTTATTGATTTCCCCACCTCTGTTATTATTTCCTTTTTTTTCTAGTCACTTTAATTTGCTTACTTTTTCTAATGTCTTAAATTAAAAGGTTAAGCTATTTCTTTTAAACTGGTCTTCTTTATTCAATACTGTAAGAACTAATTTAACTCATATTTTGATGTATTGCATTTTTATTGTTCAAATAGAATTTTTTAATTTTTAAAAAAATTTTATTGTATTATTATTTTTGTGTGAGTGTACCGTCAAATCAGATCTGACTGGTACAGGAGGAGATTGTCCCTCTTTCCCCGGCAGAGCATCTGGTGGATTCGAACCGTACACCTCTGAGATTGTAGTTGCAGCTCCTTACCACTAGGCCACCAGAGCTCCCCCTCAAATAGAAATTTTAAAAATTTTCTTTTATGTGTGACAATGAATGAATGGAAATCTAAGTTCTCTAGAAACTTTTGTTAAAATCTTAATGAAAATAATAACAACAAAGGATTCTTTTGTAATTCTCTCCCTCCCAGTGTATTGTTTACTTTTTAAGTATTTGGACCTTTTCTATATACTTTGTTATAAGTCTCTGACTGAATTATTTGATTGTTAGGGTACATATTCTATAACATTTAAAGCTTTTTCCATTTATCAAGACTTGTTTTATGGCCCGGCAAATTATTTCGCTTAGTGAGTGTTCTATGTGTACTTAAAGAGTGTGTATTCTGCAGTTGTTAAGTATAGCTTTCAGTGAGGGTCAATTAGATCAATGTGGTTGATAATGTCATTTAGATTGTCTTTATCCACCTTTTATGTCACTTACTGAAAGAGGAATATTAAAATGTCAATTATAATGCTAGTTTTATCTATTTTCCCCCTTTGTCCTTTTAGTATTTGCTTTATATACTTTAAAGTTCTCTTATTAGGTACATTTGTAATTACCTTTCTGGTGGATTGACTTTTTTTATTATAATTATTTATTCCTATTAACTTCTGATAATACACCTTGTCTTAGAATCTATTTTGTTTGATTTTAATATAGCCATTCCAGCTAGTTTCAAGTACTATTTGCCTGGTATCTCTTTTTAAAACACTTTTTTACTTTCAAATTATTTTTCTCTTTGGATTTAAGGATTATCTTTTGTAAACAGCACATAAATAGTTTTAAGCTTTTCTAGTCAATGAGACAACCTCTGCCTTGTAAGGGGGGGTGTTTAAATAATTTTTATTTTATATAATTATTAATTTGAATAATATAAAATATGGATTTGAGAGCGCTAATTTAGGATTTGTTTTCTTTTTTTTAAAAAATTTTTTTAGGATTTGTTTTCTATTCTTCTTTTCTGGTTTTCTTTTTAATTCCTCACATTTTATTCCTTTTGGGTTGGTTTAAATTTTTTCACTTCCATTCCCTTTATTGACTTAGAAGGACCCCTGATAGCATAAAGACTGAATTCAGCTGTTAATCCAAAGATTGGTGGTTCAAACCCACAATAGCTTCTCCAGGTGGAAAGACCTGGTGATATATTCTGTAAAGATTACAGTTTAGAAAACCCTATACATTCTCCTTTGTCACATGGGATTACTAAAAGTTGGAGTCTACTTGATGACATTTAACTACAATGATGAAACTATCTTTTTACTTAAAACTTTTGGCATTTTAAAAAATTTTATCCCAAGGTTTACAACAGAGATTTTCAGTTTGTCAGTATTTGCTTAGAGTTAATATTGTCCTGATCCTACACCTTAACCTTAATAGAAACCTCTTCATTACCCACCCGCCAGGTCTCAACCTCTCCAGAGACTTTGCCAAATATGATCCTGACAGCCAATTCTGAGCGCATGAGCCCAGAGATGAACAGGATGGTCTCTTTTCAATTCAAGAGGCAGCAGATCCCCCAGGAAAAAGTACCCAAACCTTCTCTGCCTATAAAACCCCAAGGCTTCTGGGGACACGCAAACTCAAACTGGGCTTTGGAAAAGAATAACATGAGGGAACAGCATCTGATGTCAAATCTCTTCAACAAATTTCCACTGAGAAAGGACTTCTCCTGGTTCCCAGCTCACTGCAAACCAAAGGTGGTTCTGCGTAACCATCCAAGTGAGTTACTGGGAGGTGTTGAGAACTTAGGGCATAGAGTGACGGTCAACCGAACCAGCCCTCACCAATGGAGTGAACCTATCCTGAGGGGAGGACACAGCTCCTGCTCTCAGCAATGTCCTTAACTAATGGTGGAGACAATTCTCTACCCTTAGAGTGTCTCCAGGCTTTTTGAGAAGGCCAAAAAAGGTCAAGTAGAATAAGAGTTCTAAGCACCCTCTTGACCATTTCCAGATGAGGCCTGTTGAGCTAAGTCAATAACAGGGATATGTTTTGAGCTTTATAATAATTAACTTTTGTTGATTGCCTTCGAGTTGAGCAAAAGGCCTGAAGCCCCTCTACAACTATTGACTTTTATAAAAATTCATAGAGTTTCCGGAAACATGTTGTTTAGGAAATGGATGTCACTCCTGCTTCCAAAATAATTCACTAGGAAGAGACATTATTTGGAGGAAAAGAGCAATGGCTGATTCTGAAAGAGTTTTAAAATTAATTTAGTTGGTGTTAGATCATAGAACCCTAGAAATTTATGCCAAGTACAGCAGAACAAATTGATGATGTCAATGGCTTTGCCTTTCCAGAAAATCCTTTCGTGCACCAGGAGTCTCACTCTCAAAGTCAAAGCTCTGGTGAGAAGAGGCAGCTGGACATGCCCTCCCTCCTCCTCATGCAGAGTGGTCCCCAAAATGACATTGCTCTGAATGACCTGCTGGTTATTGCCACTCCAGCCCGACTGGATCCAAGGCCTGCTAGAAGCCATACAGGTGCCATGAGGAACCGATGTGTATCAGCTAAGGAATCATACAGACACTCACTGATCTCTGGCCAGAAAGGGTGTGCAAGAAACTAGGTAGGCCCACCATGTTCCCTTAATGTGCTTGCTGTGTTGGTAGCTGCCCCCTTTGTATTTTTGTATGGTAGATGGGTAGGTGGGTAGGTAGGCAGGCAGAGGGTTATAAAGACATACAGCAAAGTAGACAATTAAGATGTCTACTTCTGATATAAGGGAGTTATGATGGTGATTCAATTAGGATTTCTCTTTCTGAGATAAGGGAGCTCTGGTGATGTATTCTTTAGGGAGTTGTTCTGTGAACCCAAAGACCACATCTCTCTAATGGTTCAAATCCACCAGCAGCTATAAGGAAGAACGGTGATCAGTCTCCTTCCATGCGATTTACAGCCTCGGAAACACAATGGAAGGTCAGCTATGATTTGATTCCTACTGATTGACAGAGCTTGAGTTTGAACTAGATCATTTGCCCTGGAAGCTGACCTTCCAGTGTAGCAAACTGAGGCCTTAGAACAAGAGGGTGGCAAAGCTTTGATCCTACCATATGGAAGGACCAAGAACTTCTCTGTTAAAACTTCAGTGCTGAGCTCTGGTGGCCTAGTGGTAAGAAGCTGTGCTGCAACACCAAAGGTATGTGGTTCAAATCCATCTTTTGCTCAGTGGGAGAAAGATGGGTAATCTCCTCCTGTGCACAATTTACTGCCTCTAAAATCTCACTGGAGGGTCAGTTGTGTGTCTGTTCTGAATCAATGGTACACAACAACAACACCAAGAAAACCCTGAAATCTGCTCCCTTGGAAGCTACTTCATGAATTGAAGTCAGCTCAATGACAAACTTCAGTGCTTCTAAAGGAAGTTTATATGTAAAAACTTCACTCTACAGTATGGTCTTGTATGGAGAGGGATTTGTGCTGTTTGGCTGCCTATAGCAGAAATCTACATGTTTTAAGCATCTGTTTTACCCTTGCCACATAAATCACATATCAATCACCAGCCAGATACTCTGCCCATTGTTACCAGTTTCTTATTACACTTCAGGAAGGTCCGAAAATAAACTTCAGTATCCACAGGAGCCATCATGACTATCATTACACATGATATTCTAGGACCTACTTGCAGAAAGTCTGATTCAGTAGGTCTATGGTGGAGCCCAGGAATATGTATTTTAAGAAGCTCCTCTAAGGGGAGCTCTGGTGGCTTAGTGGCAAGAAGCTGCAACTACAATCCCAGAGGTGCACGGTTCGAATCCACCAGATGCT